ATAACCACCAACCATCCAATCACTTGGTGGGAATTAAGAAGACTGGATAGAAACATTATATCAAGTAAATTCAAGGCACCACAACAACCAACCTTAAGAAATAAGAAAGAGTATAAGGAAATACTATGAACAACTGTATGCCAATAAATTATATAACCTAAATGAAATGGATAAATTCCTAGAAGGATACAAACTATTGAAATATACTGAAGAAGACATAGAAAATCTGAGTAGACCTATAGATAATAAGTAAAGAGACTGAATTAGTAATTTAAATGTTTAAAAAGTGTTTCCAAAAAGCGAAGTCTAGGCCCAGATAGCTTCCCTGGGAAAATGAGCACCACTTCTTCAAACGCTCTTTAAAAAAATGTTAGATATATAATTTGACTCACCCTCATATATATGTATGCATATGTAAATATTACTAAAATCAGGAATGAAAGTAATTTTAATTACTAAAATTTAGTTATACATATACACATACCTATACATATATATCAAGGAGCTCTGGTAGCGTAGTGGTTACGAATCGGGCTGCGAACCTTAAGGTCAGCGGTTCGAAACTACCAGCCGCTCTGCGGGAGAAAGATGAGGCTTTCTACTCCCGTAAAGATTTACACCCTCGGAAACCCTGTACAGGGTCGCTATGGGTCGGACCCGACTCGATGGCACTTAACAACAACAACAACACATATATATGAGGGTGAGTCAAAAATTATCTGCACTCTGAGAGATGAGGACATGGAGAAATCGAGCAACTGAGGACTCTAGATTCATGGAAAGAGAAAGGCTGTGTGCTGGTGGCCAGGAGGCAGGCTTACAGAATGTGCCATTTGGTTGTTTAAATGATGATATGTCCTTGAGTATTTTTGTGTATATCCAAAAAAAAAAGAAGGACTAGAAGCAAATACTGTTGAATAATGATGCATGGAGGAGATTGTAAGCATTACAATGAAATGATTAATGTAAAACCAATGTTCTCAATTCACAATAAAAACTTTAAAAAATTTTTTTATTTGCACGCTAATTATATTAAAATGCCTGTCCACATCCAGGGTTGACAACAACATTGAGTGTGTACGTAAAATGATTCTGTCACATAGATAAGTGATAGTGGATTATGTGGAAAATCATTTACAAATCAGCCATATCTCTGCCTATAAAATAATCCACAACAGACTTGGGTTTCAAAAAGTTTGTGCAAGATGGGTACCTAAACAACTCACAAAAGAGCATAAACAGAAGCATTTCGACATCTGCAAACAAAATTTGGACTTAAAGAAAGGTAAAAGTTTCTTTTAAAAAAATATTACTGATGATATGACATGGATTCATCATTACAAATCTGAGAGTAAAAAGCAGAGTATGGAAGGGAAACATCCACGATCACTGACCAAGAAAAAGTTCAGAAGTCAACCATCAGCTGGAAAATTGATGCTTACAGTTCTCTGGGATTCTCAAGGGCCAGTATTGGAACACTATCAGAATAAAGGTTCAACAGTCTAAAGGGTTCATTACAGTGAGATGCTCACTGAAAAGCTGGAGCCTAAACTTTGGATTAAAAGCAGAGGACTGCTATCCAAGGTCGTTGTGATCTTGCACGACTATGCACGTCACACATACCTCTGTCCACACTGTTGACACTGTGCAAAAACCTCGTTTTGAGGTGTAAAAGCATTCTCCCTATAGTCCTGATCTTGCTGCATCGGACTTTCACCTGTTTGGTCCCCTGAAAGCAGCCCTTCAAGGATGAAATTCCACCTCTGATAAAGTAGAGAAGACAGTGATGCGTTCATGGCTCACAGCTCAGCCTAAAACATTTTGTAATAAGGTAATATGAAAGCTTTCTGACAGATGGAAAAGTGTATTGAAAGCCACAGAGATTATATTGAAAATGATGTATTTGTCTTTTCTAAAAGTTGATTAAAATAAATTCTACAGCCAGAGTGTGGACAATTTTTGACTTGCCCTTGTGTGTGTGGAGAGAGAATCCTGGTGTGGTGCATTGGGTTCACGTGCTGTACTGCAAGGTCAGTTTGAACCATAAGGTCGGCAGTTCAAACGTACCAATTGCTCCTCAGAAACCCTATGACTCCAAATGGACTTGACGGCCCGTAACAATAGCAATTATATAAATATATATTTAATTTATTGCTGCTGTTGTTGTTAGGTGCCATGGAATTAGTACCAACTCGTAGCAACACTGTACAGGGTTTCTAAGGAGCAGCTGGTGAGTTTGAACCACTAACCTTGCAGTTCATGCCAGCCTTGCAGTTGACTGCTTATCCTACAGTGCCACACCAGGACTTCATACATACATACATATATTTGTTGTTAAGTGCCATTGAGCAACCCTATATAGGATGTCCAAGGAGCAGCTGGTAGGTTTGAACCATCAACCTTGCAGCTCAAACTGACCTTGCAATCCAGAGCTTTACCCTGCAGTGCCACACCAGGATTCCATATATATATATATATATATATGTTGTTGTTTATGGTAAGTGCTGTCAAGTCGCCTCCGACTCATAGCAACCCTGTACAGGGTTTCCAAGGAGCAGTTGGTGAGATTGAACCACCGACCTTACAGTTCAAACTGACTTAGCAGTCCAGGGTATTAACCCACAGCACTCTATATATGTTGTTGTTGTTGTTGTTAAGTGCCGTCGAGTCGATTCAGAGCCATAGCAACCCTGTATAGGATTTCCAAGGAGTGGGTGGTAGGTGAACAGCCAATCTTGTGGTTAGAAGTCCAGTGCTGATCCTACAATGCTACACCAGTACTCCATATATACGTGTGTGTATGTATATTTATATACATATATATGTATGTATATACTCTGTTTCTATATCTATACACATATATGTACATATATACACATGTATACACACATATATGTGAAAGGAGCTCTGGTAGAATAGTGGTTACGAATCAGGATATGAACCGCAAGGTCAGCAGTTTGAAACTACCAGCTGTTCCACGGGAGAAAGATGAGGCTTTCTGCTCCCGTAAAGAGTTACAGCCTCAGAAACCCTGTACAGTGTCGCTATGTGTCGGAACCGACTCCACGGCACACAACAACAACAACTAAATATATTTGTCTATATACTTATATGTACACACACATACACATATATATGGAGCGGTGCAGTGTTGTAGGATAAGCACCAGACTGCTAGCCACAAGGTCAGCACTTCAAACCCACCAGCCACTCCCCGAAACTCTACACAGCGGTGCTGAGTCAGAACTGAGTCAACAACACTTTAACCACAATAGCAACGTATATATCTCAGTAGGTATCATGTCCTGATTCCTTCTATGAGGCTAGCATTACCCTGATATTAACACCAAACAAAGACACACAAGAAAATAAATCTAAAGCCCAATATCCCTTATGACTAAATATATACAGAAACCCTCAGCAAAATACTAGCAAATAGATTCCAGCACCACATAAAAAGGATTACACAACAACTACCCTGATCAGAGACCTCCAGCCCTGTTCATCCTCAGACAAAACAGGAGCCTGCCAAAGACGCCTACCACAGGGGCTCCAAAGTACAGTGATCAAGGCTCAAAAGAAAAGGAGACAAAACAAGCAGAGATGTTGATGCCAGTGCTTCCAGAACATTTTGTCAACATCTTTCCTTCCAGATCAGCCCACACAAGAGAGACTCAGTATCACAGCCTTCCTCTCTCCATCCAGGTCTTTCCAACCTCTTCAAGACTAGTCCCTGATCTGAGGTGTCTGCTTCAAGAGGCAGGTTGTTGTCCACAGTGGGTGGGAAAATGGAAGACTTTTTGCTCATCTTGGAGCCTGCTTGGCTCTAAGGTAGCAGAGAAGTAAAACTTCTAAGTACTAGTATTAAAGCTCTTTCTCCAGTACAGCCTGGCGCTTTTTAACAGAGTAATGACAATCTACCTGCTTTCCATATATCTGTCTTCTACACACACACACACACACACATACCACACACCACAGAACATTATGCTATTCAAGAATCATATGTATTTATGCTGAAATATCTTGTCCCTACTGCTTAAAAATAAAAGAAACCAAATTGATGCTTTCTTCGAGGGGACTCTTGTACTCTATTCCTTTTCTTTAAACGGTTTTTGTAACCACCCACCACCCTCTGCACTCTCATGAAACCCATTTTCAATCCAAGGAATGCTTACAAAAAGCTTCTTCTTAAAGTCCACACTTTGTCTCCTCAGCATGAAGTCACCAGCCCTGTGTTTCAACTAAATTGTTGTTGTAGTTAAGTGCTATAGAGTCCATTCTGACCCATAGCGACCCTGTATACGGTTTCCAAGGAGCAGCTGGTAAGATTGAACCACCGACCTTGAAGTTCAAATGACTTTGCAGTCTGACACATTAGCCCACAGCGCCACATCAGGACTCTTTCAGCTAAGTAAGTCTTAGCATTTCTCCCACCGGGTTTCAGCGAGCCCTCACCCATCCTGATAACACTTCCTTCTCATCAGTATTCTCCTTCTCAGACACAACAGCCCACTCAGGGACTCACAACCTCCCTGCTAAGGCCATCCAAGCTACCAATGTGCCTGACAGCTCCCACTCATTTCAGAAGTGCGTACTTCTAGAAAAGTCCTTTGGCTCAAACAAAATGTCTCTTCTCCAGTGCAAAAGTGCACCAGAGCCAGACTATCAGCTGCAGCCACTGAAATGTACTTCCCTCCCTAGAAAGGGCAGCAGGAATGGCTTTAAGCCTGGTCCTTTCCTCCCTGGTCAAATCAGAATTTCCTGAGGTCTGAGTCATGGAAGTGGATCATGGGCTTGGCACTGTTACTGAGTCATCTCTCAGGGCCCCCTCTTGCTCATCTATAAAATGGGGCCAGTTGTTCCAGCCTTACATCTCACTGGGTCAAAAAGGAGGTGAGAAGAAGCTGGTAACCAGCAAGGCAAAGGGAAGAGTATCACACGTATAGGTGGTCTAAGGGGCTCAGCCTCCCAGCCCTGGTTCCACAACATGAGGCTTACCTGTCCAAACACATACAGCAGTCCAATTGTGCCTCCGGTCTTCCCCCCAAGGACAGAGGAGATCATGGAGTAGACACCACCGCTGCCAACGCTGCAATGCTTCCCGACCCCGATGCCAGACAGCACAGTGATCAGGGCCACAAGGACCACGAAGGACACCAGGAGCATGCCCATGAGCACACCTGTGTTTCCCTGCAGCAAGGAACAAGGTCGAGGTTAGAACGAGGAGACCCTGCCAGCCACAGTCCCTCCTGGGAAAAGTGACCACCTCCCCACAGCTGAACTGCTGGATACCCCTAGAATTAGGGGCAGCAGAGCTGGGCTATAGCCTGCAGTCAAGTCAATTACAATTGATGGCAACCCTATGTGTGTCAGAGTAGAACTGTGCTCCATGGGGTCTTCAGTGGTTGATTTTTCAGGAAGTAGAGGACTTGAATCTCTAAAATCTTAGTTAACAGTTAACAGCTGAGCACATTAACCAGGTATTCTAAAAGAAATCCTAGACCAAAGGAATTATCTTTACTTTAAACTCTATCTACTGCTTTAGGGTAAAAGGCACTCATCTGAACCTCTCTACTTGCCCAGTGCCTCTCATTCCTGTGTCAAGCCACTCCAAGGACGCATGCTCTCTCCCCACCACCCACTTACCCAGGCATGGCTCCCTGCCAGGAAGGCCTTTCCTCCTCATACTCCTTCTTTGTCAGGTTTACTCTAATGTATCTGCCAGGAAGCCTTCTCTGCCACCCTTCCTCAGGACTCCCGCAGCGCCCAGGGCTTAGTGTTAGCATCAACTTTCATACAGTTTGACTGTTTCCATGCCTCCCTAGAGGGCAGGATTGTGTTTATTCTCCTTTGCACTCATGGAGCTTGGCACAGTTGCCACACAATGCTGCTATTGTTAAGCGTCCTGTCACGTCAGATAACAGGTGCTTTTATATATTTGTTGACTGAATAAATGCACATACATGCCTGGAGAGGTACCCACCTAGACAGACTCTTTTCAATGTGAAAAGCAAGCATCTGGAGAGGACCACACCTCAGCAGGAGCTGCAATGATAGGCACTTTACAATTGCAGGAGCAATGGAGACAAGGTTCCTGGTAGGTAAGACCCTGGGTTGTGGTGTTGAATAGAAAATTAGGAGTGGGCAGAGCCAACTCAAGAGCTTTTTCTTGTTAAGTGCTAACGAGTCTGTTCTGATTCATAGCAACCATGTATAGGGTTTCTGAGGAGTGGCTAGTGAGTTTGAACTGCTGATCTTATCCAGTCTAGGGCTTATCCAGTACCACACGAGGACTCCATGCAAGAGCTTAGAAGCCTCAACTAGTCATTACTTCCGGGGTGCTACATATCTCTGTTCATGAGATCATTTGGTGGGTTCCACCTCAGTCTGAAGGAGTCCTGGTGGTGCAGTGGCTTAAGTGCAGAATGCTAACTGCAAGGTCAATAGTTCAAATCTACCATTTGCTCCGTAAGAAGAAGATGTGACTGTCTGCTCCCATAAAGATTTACAGTCTCGGAAACTTTAAGGAGCAGTTCTACTCTGTCCTTCCTATATAGGATCAGCATGGCTATTGACTTGATGGCAGTGGGTTTGTCTGTTTACTGCTAGTCTGAGATGGATAGCACCGGCATTCCAGGAGTCAGAGTTGGGGAGCTTTTTCTTTCCCTTTCCCACTGCCACGTTCTTTCTTGTTTCTATTAATCCCTGCTAATTCACACAAACACTCTTAGGAATGTTTTCTAATTGCCACTGAATCCACTCTGACTCATGGTAACCTATGTGTTTCACAGTAAACCTGCTCCATAGGGTGTTTTGGTTTTTATCCTCAAACTGAAGTCAATCTCTTAATCTGAAAGCATAAAAACAAAGGAAGAAACCAGAAATTTCCCAATACATGTTTAATTGATTAGATCAGAGTAAAATTTGTAACTTGATATGGTAGAATGCTAAAACAAAACAAAACAAAAAAGACAAAGAAAAGAAACAACCTACTGCCATCAAGTGAATTCCCAACTTAATGACAGTAAATCTTTATGGTAGGAGATAGCTTCAACTCTCCAGTTGGACGACTGGTGGGTTTGAACTGCCGATCTGACAATCAGCAGCCCAGTCCTTATCCTATTGTGCCAACAGGGTTCCTGGTAGAATGCTAGTGGCCTTGATATGGTAGGATACTAGATAAATAAATAAATCCTAGATAAATATCTGTGCCATCACATGGACAAATAACTTCTTATTGACCAGCTTGGTTCATCTCCAGCTAATTTTTCAACCACAAATTTTATTAAAACTAAATGGATTTTAGTTTTTATTCAAATCCATTGGGGGGATGGAACATTTCTGCTTTTGTTTCCTTAGCAGGAATCTCTTGATCCTAAAAGTCTTACGAGTAGACATGGCGAGGATGGAAGGAGACCACACTCGCCACAATGGCGGAGAAAGGGAGAGAGAGTTCTACAGGGTTCTCAAAGAGTGTGACCTTTGGAAAGGCATCAGCAGGTCATTCTTCTCAGGCACCTCTGGGTGATTCATACAGCTAGCCTTTCATTTAGTAGTTGAGTGCTTCATCATTTGTGCCACCCAATGACTCATTCTTGGGAGTATTTGTAATTTAACTCTTCTCTGGTAGTGTAGTGGTTACGAATCAGGCTGCGAACCTCAAGGTCAGCAGTTCGAAACTACCAGCTGTTCCGCGGGAGAAAGATGAGGCTTTCTGCTCCCGTAAAGATTTACAGCCTCGGAAACCCTGTGCAGGGTCGCTGTGAGTCGGAACCGACTCCACGGCACATAACAACAACAACAATGAACTGTAAACTTTGTATGGACCAATTTTTCATTTCTTCCCAGCCTTCCAAAGTAATATCTCACCCCTTCTACTGTAATACTCCCACATTGTTGTTGTTGTCGTGAAGTGCCGTCGAGTCGGTTCCAACCCATAGCGACTTTGTATAGGGTTTTCAAGGAGCAACTGGTGGATTTGAACCAACAAACCTGTGGTTAGCAGTCTAGTGCTTATCCTATGGTGCCATACCAGAACACCAGGACTAATTAAATTAAGGCATTAAAAAAACTGTGGCTTCCATCCTGAGTGTTTACTTTCTCTCAGGCTTTCTTAGATTGCCCTCCTTGGGGATGAAGGAGGACCCATGTGATGCAGGACCAAGGCCTGCCAACAACCACGTGAGTAATTCTCCTGAGTCTAACCTTCAGACCTTGAGCCAGAGGCACCAACCAAAGTTATGCCAGGCATTCTGAACCACAGGAACTGAAGAGCATACATATCGGTTGTTTTAAGCTACTAAATTTTAGGGTAACTTGTTATATAGCAATAAGCAGGTAATACAATCTGTACCTTCATTTTGGGGGATAGAAGTGACGTTTCTGGGTAGCCAATTCTCCAAAAAGTAACCTAATGAGATGGGGGAGGAAGCCCTTCAAGAGTGGAAACAGGAAAACCTCACTTTCCTTCCTTTACTTCCCATAACCGGGACCTGTGTGAGTAGGGCCAGGGAGCTCAGGCTGACACTGACCAGGACTTTCTCTGCCATCACTACATAGTGGCTGGGCTACTGTCAGAGAAAGACTGAAAAGGTGTGAGCTATAATGTGGCTCCCAAAATGGGGGAAAATAAAAGCCCAGAAGCCTGAGAATGCCCACAGGGATGAGGAGTTGGAACAGGAGGCTTTCTGTTTGTGAAATGGGATCCCTGTATGCTTGAGGGTGCTACAAAAGGCCTGAATTCTTAGCATCCAGACCAGAGGGACTGCTGGTCCCACTGTAAACACCTTAATCAAAAGCATTTCATTCCACCCAGGATTTGGCTAAGGCTAAACCCTAGGGTAAGGTTAGAGCTTAGGAGGTCTGGTATCACCTGGTCCTCCTGGGGGAACAAGGCTAAAAACCCTGTACATGACTGCAGTGGCACTTCGATCCCCTGGGATTTGACTACATTTAAAAAGGCCCCCTTCTCTCCTTCAGCTGTCCAATCAGCTCAGTCTTCGAGGTCCTCTCCAGAAGGCTTTCCTGAATACAGCACTCCCTTGTCCACTCTTAAGGGATTTAATGCTGCGTTGAGACCACTCTTGGATTCCTGAGGTGACATTTACCCACCACAGTTGTTAATTCACCCAGGGGAGGGACAGTATCTTTTATTTTGTAATCCCATTGGCACATAATAGTGCTTAGCACACAAAGAGGGTCTCATCGATGTTTAACCTTTGACTGGGTTTGTGTTTTATTCTGAGCAGCCTGTTTCATTGACTGAAGTCCCAGGAGACAGCACTGTGTGAAGGGCTAAGAATCTCCACTCAGGACATACAGCACTGGGAAGGTCTTAGGATGCTTTCTCATAAAACATTAATAAAAAATTAAAAAAAAAAAAAAAAAGCCTCTTGCTTCAATAAACTGCTACAGGAAGATCTGCCCCAGGCAATCTGTCCCTGAGAGGTAGAACATCTACAGTTCTGACCAAGCCTCCCATGCACAGTCTTACATGCAGGGTTGGGTGGTGAGGAGGCAGATGATGATGTGGGTGGGAAGGTTACAAGATGAAGAGCACCAGGAGAGCTACAGGGGACCACAACTAGAGGCAAACTCGCCATATGACCCATTTCTAGTTCCACCCATGATGTGCCTGACTTCTGTGTTCGTATCCCTAGTTAAAGCCAAGGTGAAGTTTCCATCCAAACCTCAGCCTGAGCCCAGGTACCAGGATTCTAATAGAAAGCAATGTTCATTATTCAATGTGCTTGTTTCTTGTAGACCATCTGTGTTTTTTTAATCTGTTACATGCAGCACAGAAGGCAGATAGACCCCCACCCTCATTCCCATGTCACAGACCCACAAGAGGCTCTAGGGCCACCAATTTATCACTTACCACCAGCCAACCAGTCCTCAAAAAAAGGACAACCCCGAAAATGTTGATCATGCAGGATGTGAACACACCATCCCAGGTTCCGAAGAGCACTGGCTCCCACACAAACAGCTGGATCTTCCACCAGGGCTGGGGTTGAGCCAGGGCCCCCTGAGGACAAGGCATAAAGAACTCAGTTCAGAAGGACCAGTGAGGAGACAGAAAAGAAAGTATAGCAGAAGGAGGTAGTTATTAGCTGCAACTTCATGCACATTGAAACCAGACTTTTGTGATCTATAGCATTTTCATTGGCTGATATTTTTTCAGAAGTAGATCACAAGGCCTTTCTTCCTACTCTCTTTATCTAGATTCATTGTTGTTGTTAAGTGCTGTTGAGTTGGTTCTGACTCACAGCCACTCTGTATAGGGTTTCCAAGGAGCAACTGGTGAGCTTGAACCACCAACCTTGCGGTTCAAACCGACTTTGTAGTTCAGCACATTAACCCACAACACCACACTAGGACTTTATCTAGATACTTTATCTCAATATTTTTATCTGTATTGTTGTTAAGTGCCTTCGAGTCGATTCCAACCCATAGCGACCCTGTATAGGGTTTCCAAGGAGTGACTGGTGAGCTTGAACCGCTTACCTTGCGATTCAAATGACTTTGCAGTCTGGCGCATTAACCCACAGCGCCACACAAGGACTCCTTTATCTATATACAAGGCAGGCCTGTGAACACATAAACACACATACAGTCTTGAAGACTAATTCTACAATAAAATCACTGTTCTCTCCTAACAGCTAGATAAGTGTATGTAGCAGAGACAAGATATTCAACAAACTCAATTTCCTTTCCTCATAGATTTCCCAGCCTTGTTTTCAGTTAGATGTGACCATATGACTGTGTTCTGGCCAATGGAATGCAGGTAGAAGCAATGTATGACAATTCTAGGCTTCACCCATAATTTCCCCACACAATCCCCCAATTTCTACCACGCTACTCCACACCTCCATCAGCTGGGTACTGATCCTCAGTGAAACTGTGAAGTATCAAAAATAGTGGACACTCGGTCGTCTTGGATCTATGAATGACTGTGTGGAGCAGAGTCCTAACTCACCAGACCCTATATGAGAAAAAAAGGAACTTACATTGTGTTGAGACACTGAGACTTAGGGTTTATCTCTTTCTGAAGGGAGATAATGCTACCTTAACTAGTACAATCTGTCGTGCCTTGGTTTCTTAGCCAGTAACACCAAGTACCTTTCCTTGACAACTTCAATCTTTTCTCTGTTGATAAGAATGTTGTTTATTGGTCCAGTAGTGAGGATTTTTGTTTTCTCTATATTGAGAGGCAACCCATACCAAAGGCTGTGTTCTTTGATCTTCATCAGTAAATATTTTAAGTCTTCTTCACTTTCAGCAAGCAAGGTTGTATCATCTGCATATTGCAGGTTGTTAATGAGTCTTCTTCAATCCTGATGCAACGTTTTTCTTTATATAACCCAGCTTCTTGGATTATTTGCTCAGCATACAGGTTAAATCAAGTATGGTGAAAGAATACAACCCTGTCACACACCTTTCTTAATTTTAAACCATTCAGTGTTCCCATGTTCTGTTCGAACAACTGCATCTTGGTCCGTGTACAGATTGCTCATGAGCTCAATTAAGTGTTCCAGAATACTCATACTTCGCAATGTTGTTCATAGCTTATGATCCACACAATCGAAAGCCTTTGCATAGTCCATAAAGCACAGGTAAACATCTTTCTGATATTCTCTGCTTTCAGGCAACATCCATCAAACATCAGCAATGATATCCCTCATTCCACGGCCTCTTCTGAATTCAGCTTGAACCTCTGGAAGTTCTCTGTCAATGTATGCTTGCAGCTGTTACTATATTACCTTCAGTAAACTTTATTCACATGGGATATCAAACAGATTGTCCAATGACTTCCACATTCAGTTGGATCACCTCTCTTTGGAATGGGCACAAATATGGATCTCTTCCAATCAGTTGGCCAGATAGTTGTCTTCCAAATTTCTTGGCACAGATGAGTGAGTGTCTCCTGTGCCGCCTCACTTTTTTGAAAGATTTAACATTTTATTCCATCAATTCCTGGTGCCTTGTTCTTTGCCAATTCCTTCAGTGCACCTTGGACTTCCTTCTTCAGTATCACTGGCTCTTGATCATATGCTACCTCTTGAAACGGTTGAACATCAACCATTTCCTTTTGGTACAGTGACTCTGTGTATTCCTTCCATCTTCTCTTGATGCTTACTGCATCATTCAATAATTTGCCTAGAGAATCCTTCAATAACGAAAGTCAAGGCTTGATTTTTTTCTTCAGTTCCCCCAGCTTGAGAAATGCTGAACATATTCTTCCTTTTTGGTTTTCTGACTCCAGATCTTTGCACATGTTGTTGTCATATTTTGCTTTATCTTCTCAAGCTGATTTTTGAAATTTTCTGTTCAGCTCTGTACCTCCTAATTTCTTCCATTTGCTTTAGCATCTCTACACTGGAGAGCAAGGTTCAGTGTCTCTTCTGACAACCATTTTGACCTTTTCCTTCTTTCTTGTCTTCTTAATGACTTTTTGCTTTCTTCATACACGATGTTCTTGATGTCATTCCACAACTCTTCTGGTCTTTGGTCTTTAGTGTTTAATGTATCAAATCTGTTCTTCAGATGATCTCTAAATTCATGTGGAATATATTCAAGATCATATTTTGGCTCTCATGGACTTGTTTTCATTTTATTCAGCTTCAGTTTGAATTTGCATATGATCAATTGATGGTCTGTTCCACAGTCTGCCCCTAGCCTTGTTGTGACTGGTGATATGGAGCTTTTGCATCGACCCTTTTACAGGTGCCCTTAATTTTGGCCTGGAGAATGCATTCAACAATGTTTTCAAAGTCACGAGGTAATCACTATTCATTGCTTCTTATTTATTTTAAACATCCATAATGTAATTTGAATCTATAGTAGTTCACAATATGGAGGTTTTAGGAATTCAAACTGATTTGGGGTTCATTTGCCTAGAACTGTAATCAGCAGAGAGAAAGATGTGCACCAACAAGACCCAACACTCAAAGAGCATGGAAATGCTCCAAGTAGGCTGGAACAGAACTCATACTTGGCAGGATTTCCAAATGCTACATTGCAAATGCCAGTGTAACCCCTAAAAACCTGAAGAGTTCTCCTGAAAACCCTTAGTCCTTTTAGAAGTTCATTGAGCTTTGACAGAAGGCAGGAAGAGGAACTGGCTGGAGGCCCCCATTGTTGGGGAGTACCCAAGACTTCTTAGAGGGTAAGCTATAGCTGGGTGCAAGAGGCTCTTGTAGGTTACAGAAGCAACTGTGAAAAGGCTGCAGGTGTAAGTGGGCAAAGGGGTGGGCAGGCAAAGGCATGAACCTGGCCAAATGTGGGAAAGGTTCAGACATTAGGAGGAGGGGCAGTCTCAGCCTTCCACAGAGATGAGTCATCAGAGATGGAACACTCAGAAGTAAGTGAATGGCTATGTAGTGCTTGGCTTCCTTATCAGGTAAAATAAGAAATAATAAAAATATGATAAAGCTACGATAGGATGAATGTAAAACTAATGTTCTCCCATGTAAACTACCACATAATTTACAATAAAACATTTTTTTAATGTGATAAAGTGTTTGCTACAATGATAATTTTTACAGTTTTGTTTACACACAATCGAAAACACAGGGAACTAAATGTTTAACAAAACCCACTCACTGCCATCGAGTGGTTTAGCAACTCTATAGGACAGGGTTGAATTTAGGATTTCCAAGATTGTAAATCTTTATGAGAGCAGACAGCCTGGTCTTTCTCTCCCGGAGCAACTGGTGAACTTGAACCACCAACCTTGTGGTTGACAGCCCAATGTCTAACCCACAGCACTCCTAGGGCTCCATGCTTAACAAAAAGGGATAATGAGTACTTTATGGTAATGGATTGCCATGCAGATGACAGAGAAAGATGGTCATTGGATGAGGCAAGTTACTAAACAATATTGGCAATATGATCTCATTTTGGTAAAAACATAAACAAAAACCATATGGTAAATCTGAAAAGAAAAAGTGGGCAACTATACAGCAAAATGGAAACAGGTGTATTTGCTGGTGTTTGATACATTGTTGTTGTTGTTGTTAAGTGCCATCGAGTCGGGTCCGACCCATAGCGACCCTGTACAGGGTTTCCGAGGGTGTAAATCTTTACGGGAGTAGAAAGCCTCATCTTTCTCCCGCGGAGCGACTGGTAGTTTTGAACCGCTGACCTTAAGGTTCGCAGCCCGATTCGTAACCACTACACATTGTTGTTGTTGTTGTTGTTAAGTGCCGTCGAGTCGGTTCCGACCCATAGCGACCCTGTACAGGGTTTCCAAGGATGTAAATCTTTACGGGAGTAGAAAGCCTCATCTTTCTCCCGCGGAGCGACTGGTAGTTTCGAACCGCTGACCTTAAGGTTCGCAGCCCGATTCGTAACCACTACGCTACCAGAGCTCAACCACTACACATAGGTGATTTTAATTCTTTTTTTATACTTATCTGTATTTTCTGAAAAATGTTTACAATGGTTTCGCTGTTGTAAAGTGCTATCAAGTTGGTTCTCACTCATTACAACCTTGTATAGGGTTTCCAAGGCTATAAATCTTTGTGGGAGCAGAAAGCCTCCTCTTTCACCCATGGAGCTACTGGTGGGCTCAAACTGCTGACTTTATAGTCCATGGTCTAGTGCTTAACCTACAGATTCACTGTGTTCCCACAATGACCTTATTACAATTTATATAACAAAAAATAATAAAAGCCTGAGATAATTAATTTTGAACACTTTGAAGTAAGGCCAATGCTGTGCTATAGAACAACACTCAGAATAGGTGAAAGGTTACCACTGTCTCTTGTTATGATTTTAAAAACCTCAAGGCAAACCTCCACTGTGAAGTGTGGGCTTTCTAGTGGAATCTAGAGGGTTCTAAATTTCTGATCTCATTCTCCCTTATAGAAAATAAAGCTAGCTAAACAAGGATTGGATCTGCTTGTCTTATTCATTAGAAGGACACCTTGTAGATGTTGGCCACGGTCAAGAGTTGAAATATTTGTTCCTCCTAAAGTGTCAGCTTGACTGGACCATGATTCTCAGTGGCTTGTCAGTTATGAA